ACTGGCCTGCCTTGAGCTACTGCATCCCTATAACTGGAAGTTCCACTCAGTTTTGAAACTTCCTACATCATCTGTTGCTATTCTGTCCCTTGCTATTTTCTCCCATCTCCCAAATGTACTCAGGCCTCATTGTTTAGAGTTCTTCACGGCTCGGGCTGGGGATTTAGCTCAGGGGCAAAAGCGCCTGCCTGGCAAGCGCAAGGTCGTGAGTTTGGTTCCCGGTACCGGAGAAACCCCCCCCCCCCCAAAAAAAAAAGAGTTCTTCACGGCTCCATCCACATTGTTCAGTGATCTCATTCAGTTCGATGGTGCTAAATACCATGTGTATACTGATGGATCCCAAGTTGCCTCTTACCCCTACCACTTAGACTTCCAAATTCATAACCCAACTGCATTCTTTGTATCTCCAGTTGAAAGGCTTACTAAGAAAGCTTGAATTTCACATGGTTACATCACTGACTTCTCCCCCCAGATATACTCCTAACACTAATTACTCACGGCCTCCATCACAAATTCTGGCATCGTTATTTCCTTTCTTCTCTTACAATGCATTATTAAGACTTTTCAGCTCTGCCTCTGATAATATGCTGAATCTGACCACTTTCCACAAGTTCTACTGCTAAAAGCCTGATCTTTATTTCTTACTCAGGCTACTGCTAGTACTTTTAATCCTTCCTTTGCACCCCACCCACCCACTCACCTCAACTGATTTTCATAGCAAGCAGGGTGAGTGTTGGCTTCTAAAGGTTAAATGACAGCAGATCACTCATAACCTTACATAACGCCTTCAGAAGGCTTCTCTACCATACTTGACTGTGGTAAAACTCTCTTTACAAGGTTGTCCATGATCTGACCCTACCTTCCTTCGGGATCTCATTTTTTACCTCCCTGCATATGTGCAGTCCACCACTGACATGACGGCTCCCAAGCCTGCTAATTCACTACCACTCTAACTCAATCCAGATTGTTTTCTTTTACCTGGTGTTGGCACTTGCTGTTCGTTCTGTCTAGAATTCTTTTTCCTTGTTACCACTCTAGTGTTAATACAAATGTTGCTTCTTGGAGCCCTTCCTACACCACAATCACTTCCTACAGCATTACTCCATTTTATTTTCTTCACTGTACTTAATAATTTTGAAAATTCCTTAAAAATTTCTTATAGTCTTTCTTCCTCACTAGAACTTAAGTTCTGTGAAGGCAGGATCTTGTTCTGTCTTGCTCTCTGTATCTTCGGAATCACGAATAGCTCTCTGCACATACTAGCTGTTTAAACTATTACTTGGTGTCTTCATTACTTTTCTCACTGCTAAGACAAAACACCTGACACTCAAAGAAAGGTGTTTTTTTTTGGTACCCGGAATTGAACTCAGGACCTTGCACTTGCCAGGCAGGCATTGTGCCACTGAGCTTCTGGCCCAAAAGAAGAAAGGCTTAATTGAATCAGTTTATAGAGGTTTCAGTTCATAGTTTTCTGGCTCCAAGGCAGGGTGGCTGGCAGTGGGGAAACAGTTCATGGCCGGCAGAAGGCATCAAGCAGCGTCGTGAAACAGCTAGCAACAAGCGACTCCAGCAGCCCTCTTTCTGGATGATGGGTAGCACTTACACCCAGGGAAAGCCTTCCCATCATCTACTCCCAGAACTATGCAAACCAATCAGTGGACTAATTTAGTAATCACACACCCTCGATCCCAGCATCACACAGTGATCCAGCCACCTCTGAAAAGCCCCACCTATGAGTGCATGAGGCTTTGGGGGGACATCTAGACATGAACCGTAACAACTGATACCTCCTCCATTAGATCTTTATTTGCCTTGGGATCAACAAGGTGGTTCAATTTTTTTTCCTGCTGTATCTAACAGCATGCACATAGAAGAGACAGTGGTAGATAAGACAGAGGGGCTGGGCATGAATATCCACCTAGTTTCAGCTACTCAGGAGGCGGAGGTGGGAGGGTCACTTGAGCCCAGAAGTTTGAGGCCAGTTTGGGCAACACAGCAGAATCTCATTTCAAAAAATAAGCAAAGCAAAAAAAAAAAAAAAAAAAAAAGTGGAGGGAACCTTTTCTTTCTAGTGTAGTGTTAAAGATGAGCCCCATCACAGTAATTCCTCTGGACAGACTA